GAGCGAGCTGGAGGGCGGAAGACTTGGCCCGGGCTCTCCTTCCTTCTTTTCATTTTGTGCGGTTTGAATGAGAAGGAGGTGGCTTACACAATTCACCAGAACAGCAACCGATGGGATGCCTGTGTGCTCTGAGCCAATTATGAAATTTTTATGGGCCAGCGTCCAAGTCTTAGCTCTCATTTATGTAGAGGTGGGAGGCAGCCGGTGTCAATGTCTGTCTGCAGGCTGTGTGCACACACACTCTGATCAATATGGCGTGACAGCTATGTATTTATTCAAGAAAATAATGATCTCAATTTTCTTGTACTCATTTTCCACAACTTTAAAAAACACAAAGCCAAAGGGGAAAAAAAGAAAAGCCACAGTTAACGTCACCAAAATGTTCTGAGATCTCCCAACCCCCTCCCAAGAGGCACATCACCATTAATTCATTATCTTCCTCCGTGAGTCCATCCTTTCTCATCCTGGAGTTTTCGGAACTCCTTAACGCTGTCTTGCACCTCTCATGCACAAGCAGCCACCACATCCTGACACATTCAACTCCAAAGATCAGTCGATTCATTTATTCGTGAACTTGTCTTGCATTTGTTAAATAAGTACATACTGTGAACCATGCATTGTGCTAAGCACTGTCTCATAGATCCAGTGATAAGACGGTCTCTGCTGTCACAGATCTTACAGTCTGATGGGATTTCCGACAAGAGACAGGGCCCAATGCAGTAGCCTAGCAGCTGAGGTCCTCGCCTTGCACGCACCAGGATCCTATATGGGCATCAGTTCGTGTCCTGGCTGCTCCACTTCCCATCCAGCTCCCTACTTGTGGCCTGGGAGAGCCATTGAGGATGACCTCAAAGGCTTGGGACCCTGTACCCTTGTGGGTGACCCAGAGGAGGTTCCAGTCTCCAGACCTTGAGACCACTTGGGAGTGAATCATTGGATGGGAGATCTTCCTCTGTGTGTCTCCTCTCTATATATCAGACTTTCCAATTAAAAAATAAATCTTTAAAAATAAATACATAAATTTTAAAAAGAGACAAGTTGGAGGCCACTCCGTGTATGCTAGCAGTGGAGGGGGAGAAGTAGGGGCGTCCACTGGAGCAAGTCTGGCTTTGGGTTCGAGAGCCTTTACCCGCTGTGGAGAGAGCTGATGACTTAGCTGAGACATTTAGCTTCAGGGACATGAAGTGGGAAGGAGAGTGCTGAAGGCATCCTCCGCTCAACAGCATTCTACTGAAGACAGACTCCAGGGAGTGCTTTCTGTTACACTGTGGAGATAGTGAGACAGATTCGACACAACAAGCCCGGTTCTGCTGAAGCCTGGAGGCAGGGCAGAAACAGACCTGATAAAAAAATGGCCATACAAGTGGCTGCAAGCAAAAAGTTGTGTACCAACTGAAGTAAAATCTCATTGTACACCTGTGGGTGACACAGCTTAGAAACCTGCCCCAAGGAGAAGACCCTGCTAACCACAAGTACAATGATCAAGAGCAAAAGAAAAGACAAAGGCACAATGAATTATTACCAAAAACTCCCCTGCAAAGGAGCAAAACCCTATGCCAACCTCAGAGTTAACTAAGGAATACATCAAGAAAATGGGGCACACAGAATCCATAAAGTTCATTTTAAAGATTCTGATCAAAAATGAGAAGCTCATGCAAGAGCTCAAAGAATTTAAGGAAGGAATAAAGCAAATCAAGGCTGATCTATCTGAAATTAAGAACACAGAAGAGCAAATTAAAAGTGGAGAGTTTCCAAAATAGAACGAAGCAAGCAGAAAATGAATCTCAGAATTGGAAGATATTTCCTGTCAAAAGGGGGAAGCAAACAAAAAGCTGGAAGCAGAGCTGGATCAGGCCAAAAAAAAAAAAAAAAAAAGGTATTCAAGAATTGGAAGAAACTAGTAAAAGGCCAAATGTAATAGTTATGGGAGTCCCGGAAGATGCAGAAAGAGAAGCTGAGTTTGCAAATGTACTTAATGAGATAATAAAGAAAAATTTCCTTAATCTAGAGAAAGAACTGGGAAATAAGATCCAGGAGGGTCAAAGAACTTCCAGCAGGCCTGATCAAAAGCAATCTTCACCATGACATATGATTATCAAGCTCTCTTGAATCGAACATAAGGAAAAGATCCTTAAGTGTACACGTGAAAAAATCAATTGACATATAAAGGAATGCCAATTCAACTCACAGGAGATCTCTCACGGGAAACTCTATAGGCAAGAAGAGAATGGAGTGACATATTCCAGATTCTAAAAGAAAAAAATTGTTGGCCTAGGATAACATATCCAGCTTTCTTTTGTCTTTGAAAATGAAATAAAATTCTTCCACAGTAAAGAAAAGTTAAAAGAATTTTCCTCTTCCAAACTTGCCCTACAAATGATACTTCAAGATGTTCTCTTGACAGAGAAGAGGAATAGCACAAAAAAAAAAAAAGGCAAATGTGAAGAACATACCAGTAAAATGACAACAGAAGACTAAACCAATGAACAACCCATTCCTAGAAGGACAGGACCAAAGTACGACCCATACAAATTAAACTCTGAATGTAAATGGCTTAAGCTCAATCAAACGTCATAGATTAGTAGACTGGATTAAAAACAAAACCCCTCTGTTTATTGTCTGGAGTAGACACACTTCAACAAAGATCAGCGGAAACTATATCACATGGGTTTTGTTGTTTTCTGTTGGTTTCATCTCTTCAAAAACATTTTCTTCTGATTAAATCATTCAATGACTCATAGATCATACTGTAGCATCATTTTCTTCAAGGAGGTTCTTGATTTTCATTTCTTCAGCTATACATTAGTCATTTAATAGCATGTTATTTAACTTCTTGGTGTTAATTTCTTTTTTCTTCCTGATGTTGATTTTGTTTTATGGCTCTTCATTTAAGGGGATGTATAGTGGCTATGTAATGGAGACTGTCATATCTAGTAACATGTCATTTAATTTCATGGCATTGTAAATTTCTATTTTTCTTTCTATTGTTGATTTTGTATCATGACTTTTCATTTAAGGGGATGTACAGTAGCTGTGAAATGGAGACTAACATCCAGATGTGAGGACGCAGTGTAGTATGCATTTCTGCTTCCAGACAAAGATGGACTTACAATGAAGCTGTTTACTATATCTTGACAGTAGGATGCTGGACTCTCTACCATTGTGCATGCCCGCAATGATGGACATATGACTGTGTATGAAGAACTATACTTTAGTAATGATATAGAGGAACTAGGTGGGGGTGAGGGAATTGGGGAGGGGATAAGGGAATATGGAACTGTATCATAAAATGATAATAAGTATAATAAAATGTAAAAATAAAATACAATAAAAAAGAAATAAACAATAAAACAAAAGAGATAAACAAACAGAAACAAACAAACAAAATGGCCACAAGACACTTACTTAGGTATCCAGTTCCTCCTGCTGAAACTACTTCAAAAAGTTTGTGGAAAGGGCCAGGCGCGGTAGCCTATCGGCTAAAATGCTTGGTTTGCACGGGATCCCATATGGACGCTGGTTCATGTCCCGGGGTCCCTGCTTCCCATCCAGCTCCAGGCTTGTGGCCTGGGAAAGCAGTTGAGGACGGCCCAAAGCCTTGGTACCCTGTACCCGTGTTGGAGACCAGGAGGAAGTCCTGGCTCCTGGGTTCGGATTGGCACAGCTGCAGCTGTTGCAGCCGCTGGTGGAATGCATCACCGGACGGAAAATCGTCCTCTCTGTCTCTCCTCTCTGTATATCTGACTTTTTAATAAAAATCAAATCTCTCTTTTTTTAAAGTTTGTGGTAAATGGACTTAGCACATTTTGGTGTAAAAATCTTGAAACTGACGCATAACTTACTCCTCAGACACATTTCCCAGCACTTCGTACAGACTCGGTGTATACACAGTGATGGGAGACAGACAGGGGCATCATTTTCCTCCTCAAGTGGCTCCTGGCCGCTCCGTGCTGCTGCTCCAGGCTCTGCTGTGGCTGCCCACGCAGCTTCCCAGGGGATGCTCCCAAAGTGGGTGAGTGTGGGCCGGGCACTCTACCCTACCCAGAGCCCTGAGTGAAACACTGGGGGGCTGGTTACAGCAGACTGCGGTCTGGAAGCGAGGGACCACCCTTCAAGGTGACGGCTCCTTCGTTTGAGTGGGAGCCAGACCACAGGGAAGCCACAGCGAGACCGGGAAGGAAATCAGCGGCTCGAGAAGTGCTCCCTGGGGCTCCGGCTCGGGGGTCTCCCCAGGAAGCGCCACCTCTGGCCTCTGGCTGGGGGGGGGGGTCTCCCCAGGAAGAGCCGCCCCTGGCCTCCGGCTCGGGGGTCTCCACGATGAAGAGCCACCCCTGGCCTCCGAGGAGAGGAAGCAGCTGGCTCGTGACCAGCACAAGCTGCACAGCCCCGAGGCCTGTGCCCAGGGAACCCTGCCTCTCCTCGCGGCCATCACCCTCTCCGCATCTCCTGCTCCACACGGCCACCCACAGGGTACTTAGCCCTGAACGGCTGGTCCTGCGTGATGAACTGATTTCACCCTCTGGTCGGGGACCCCGTCGTTGATCCCCATGGCCTAGGAATTCAACTCTCCTAAAATATTGTTCCTGCACGGCAGAGCCTTTCAAGGATTCTGCTCAGGCCACCTGCCCGTTTTCCTCACACCGTATTGTTCCAAGCCTCCTTTAACATTAAGGTCTAACCTCAGAGTCACGGGACCCGCTGGCTTTTCTGGAACCGCGGTCCGGAGCCGGGATGACGTCATCCGCGGCGGGCCGGCTCCGTGCGGGGCGTGACGTCAGGCGGGACCCCAGGCCGCCCGTGAGGTCACCCGATGGGCGCGGCCGCAGCGTCGTCACGGGCGGGGGCGGGCCCCGAGCGTGTCAGCGGCCGCCGAGTCCAAACAAGCCGGAGACGCGCCTGGGCGCTGGGCCTCGGGAGCGCGCCGCTCGCGCCCGCGAGCCTCGGGTGGCCGCGCGGCGGCCGGGATGGCGCGGCGCGGCCCGGGCGGCTAGGGCCGCGCGCCTCAGGGAAGCCCCCCGGACGCCGGCCGGCCGCCTCGCGAGATGCCCAACCCCAAAAACAGCAAAGGCGGCCGCAAAAACAAACGCGCCAACAGCAGCGGGGACGAGCAGGAAAATGGAGCCGGGGCCCTGGCCGGCGCGGGCGCGGCGGGCACCGGGGGGCCCCTGGCGGCGGCTGCAGGCTGCGGGGCGGGCGCGGCGGCGGCGGCGGCGGGCGCGGCGGGCACCGGGGGCGCGGCGGGCACCGGGGGCGCGGGGACTGGCACCGCGAACGCCGCGCTGGCTGCCGGCGCCGCCGCCGCGGGAGACGCCAGGAACGGTAAGCCGGGAGTGGGGCGGGGGGAAGGCTCGGCCGGGGCGGACGCCGCCTTCCTCCCCGACGGGGCCCTTCGCCCGTGGCTGGGACTCCTCGCCCGTGGCCGGGCCCCGGGTGGACCACAATGCGAGAGTCAGGAAGTGCTCGGCCCGGTCCTCCGCCTGCCTCGCCCGGTTGCGGGCGCCGATGGGCGCGCCCCTACCCCGGGTGCCGTCCCTTGGGCTCCGAGAGGAGTGTCCGGCTTGGGGGGCAGCCCCTGCCCGTGGTGGTGGCCGAGCTGGCAAAGCTCGATCCAGGGAAAGAAGGGAGGGAGGAAGAGGGAAAAGGGCTGCCCAAGTTGAGAATGAGCCGATTGAAAACTTGGGCGCCAGCGCGGCCTTTCTGTGTGCTCCCCACCCATCTACCTAATAATAATAATAACCAACAGATCTGAGCTGGCCATCCTTAGGGCCACAGTTGAAGAGGCCGCGTGACATTTCTGCTGTCCAGCGTGTGTGTGTGGGTCTGGGGGTCTGGGGGGTTTCCTCCTCTCTGGCTTGCTTGAGGAAGCGAGACAATCTAACTTGACTTCCGTTCCCAGTTTGGAGTTAGAAGGAAAAATGATTATGTGTGTCGTGCTGTTTCACGTTTTTTAGAAGCAAACGTAATAATTCTAGATAGTGCCAGAATCCTCCTTCCTGGGGGACAGGTTGGGGATAGTCAGCCTGGGAAGGGTTTGCGTCCTCCGTCCAGTGACATGGCTTTTCGTTATAGGGTGCTGGCCAAGCACTTCTACTTGTTTGGACAGTTCTTTGAATTCCTCCAGCCAGGCTGTTTTTTAGGAAGGGGAATGCAGGCATATTTCACTGAAGGGCAGTGTGGGTCTTTGTGTCTGGCTTTGAAGTCAACAGTTTTCAGCTTTTGAAGCCATGCTTAAAATGTGGATCAGTCACTTTTTCGAACGGCACCTGCACTTAGCGAGAGCCCTGCAGCGCTCAGCACCCCGGAGGATGGTTGTGGTTTGTTAGGAGGAGTCTGGATCCCGTGAGTCTGCAGGATCGAAATAGGAAGATTGGTTCATCTTCAGGAGCTGGCTTAGCCCGTTTGTGGCTGTCTTTACAGTAACACTCCTTTGGACAACCTGTGTTCGCTGTGTTCGGTTTCTTTCTTAGCTCGCTCCTTTGCTTTGATGTTGATCCTACCAAGAGGAGGGTGCCTATGTTGGGCTTAGGGCTGACCCACCGGTGCAGCCTTCAGAGCATTGGCCTCTTAGCAAGGGCTGTCCCACTGAGTGTGTTTCCTTCTGTGTAAAACCAAGGCCCCTCCGAGGGAGACGAAGGCTGCCCGAGGGCTTATGCCCTGCCGGGTGCTGGGTGCCTGCTTGAAAGAGGGCGTATTGCGTAGGTGACATTGCACTAAAGTTCCTCTAGAGTGTGAGTGACAGCCATTATTCAGTCATTCAAAATAGAAATCCCCTGCGCATACCATCTTACAGGTACTGTGTTAAATACTAAGAAGAAAGTGGTCCAGCCTTCCTCGCCCTCGGAGCTTGTGCTCCTGGTGTGGGGGTTGTGGTTGGCCCTGATGTACTTATATGTCACACATAGGGCATGCATATGTTATATGTATATATTTTTGCCTTAGATGGAAGCTTCCAGTCAGCTATTTTCTTCTCTCTCTCTTTTTTTATCCACAAGATCAGACCGTTTTAAAGTATTGTGAGGAAATTGTTCTCAGGCTGGTGGTACCTCCTAGTTCCTACGTCTTATACACTGCTTGTGATACCCTGTTACTGCCCTGCTCCAAAGGAGCAAACTCAGGAAAATTTTTTGGTATTTAATACCTTTGTATAAAGCTGTGTATTTCTGTTTAGGCTCTTGATTTATTAAATGTGCTGTAATTGGGGTCGCAGAAAATGCCAGCTTGTGTTAGAGCCGTGGGCTGAGTGGTATCATGCCGACTGCGTGCTTCTGACGGTGCAGTCTTAGTGAGTCACCGTGATGGAGAGCTCCTCATGGCAGCCCTCCTCCATCAGTCCACACGGCAGGCTCTGGTGCGCATCCGTGATGAGGAAGTGACAAAGGCTCCTTTCCCAGCCACGCTTTCTAACACAGGGCTGTAGGAGAGATGGCACGAGGGGAGTTGGAAGAATGGGGCAATGAACATGCAAATATGCAGATCTGAGAAAGGCCCAGTTACTTCGAGTTTTAAAGTGGCATGAATTGGGCTGTTTTTATTTTCTCTACATTTTTTAAGTCTTTTTTTTCCCCCATTGGAAATTTTATGTAGAGGAGAGAGAGAGAGAGAGAAGAAGCAGCAGAGAGATAGCTTCCTTCTGCTAATTCACTCTCCAAATGGCCGCAGTAGCTGGAGCTGGGTCTGGCTGAAGCTGGGAACCAGGAGCTTCTTCTGGGTCTCCCATGTGGGTCAGGGTCCCAAGGAGATAGGCCACACTCTGCTGCTTTCCGTGGTCATGAACTGGAACAGCCAGGATATGAACTGGTGCCGGTACGGGATGCTGGCGCTGCTGGTGGATCCCTACCTGGCTATACCGCCGTGCTGTTACCATTTCGACATTTTTTGCTTACTGTGATGTTAAATTTTTGTGATCATGAACAATACAAGTGGAATAGATACTCTTGGGAAGGAGTAAATAAATATTTTGCTAAACCTTTAAAATGATTTGTTCTGTTCAAATCACCTTATATTAACATCTGCAAACATGCATTTGTTGATTCTTGTAAGTTATTAGCTTTTATTTACAATTGTTTAGAATTTGGAGAGTGGTTTTAGAACTTGTAGGTCTTGGGCAGTGTGGCCACTGGGACAGGGTGATATTACCTCTTAGTTGTTGATTGATTTTCTTTTCTTTTTTTTTTTTAAGATTTATTTATTTTTCTTGCAAAGCCAGATATACGGAGAGGAGGAGAGACAGAGAGGAAGATTTTCTATCCGATAATTCATCCCCCAAGTGGCTGCAATGGCCAGAGCTGAGCTGATCTGAGGCCAGGAGCCTTCTGCTTCATCCCGGTCTCCCGTGCGGGTGCAGGGTCCCTCCCATAGCTTTGGGCTGTTGTCTGCTGCTTTCCCAGGCCACAGGCAGGGAGCTGGATGGGAAATGGTACTGCTGGGATTAAAACCATTGCCCACATGGGATCCTGGAGCATTCAACGCGAAGACTTTAGCCTCTAGGCTATTGTACCAGGTGCTGTTGATTGATTTTCAGTAGGTTTAAGGAGTCACACTTACTCTGAGAGAAGGATAGCTTGGGAGACCTGAGGTATGGTTAAAGTTGAAGAAGTTGAATTCGTTGCATTTGTATGTCTTGACTGAGTGGAATATTAACTGTAAGGATTTTGTACTTTAAAAAAAATAGTTAAAAAATTTTCCCTGCAAAGGCCGATCCATAGAGAAAAGGAGAGACATAAAGGTCTTCCATCTACTGGTTCACTCCTCGAATGGCTGCAATTGTTGTAGCTGAGGTGATCTGCAGCCAGGAGCCAGGAGTTTCTTCCCAGTCTCCCACATGGGTGCAAGGCCCAAGGCCCTCGGCCATCTTTGCTACTTTCTCAGGCCACAAGCTGGGAGCTAGGTGGGAAGTGGAGTCGCTGGGACACAAACTCATGCCTATATGGGATCCTGGCATTTGGAGCTGAGCCAGTGTGCCGGCCCCAGGATTTTGTACTTTTAATGGGTTTATTAGGTTTTGTTTTACAAAACATTTTACAGGGAATGCAGGACATGAGGCTGTGCTGTCCTCCTACATCTGTCTGCACATGTTGTAGCATTTTGATTGTAGATGGACAAGATTTTGCCAATTATTATTTTTAGGATCTAGGAATCATGCAGTGGATTATAATTATGTAGTTTCATTTGGGAATTATGGTTTTATTAAACCTCTGCTTTTCCCCTTTAGGCCTAAAAATATGTGACTTGTGGTCTGAATTATGATACATAGTTTTCAGTGAGCCTGGATTTCAAATACTTTTGTGAATCAATTTGAGATGGCCAGGGCTCACTATGCCCTGTGCTCCTCACTGCCCTAGGACCCCTAATTCATTCAGGAATTCTGTCTGAGATCGAGTTAGTTCACTTGGTGATAAACTTTGTACTTGGTAGACCTCTGCATCCCACCCAGTCCTTGCTCCTCTGATTTCCTGCTGAATGAATCAGGGCAAGTCACGGAACTTCTCTGAACTATAGTATTTTGCATATATAAAAAGGAATGGTAACATCTATCCACAAATATCAAGTAATGTAGCTGTATTATGCATATCTTTCTGACAAGGTAAATATCTATCTTAGAAAGGTGCCTGACTTACAATAGGAGTTTTCAAAATTTTTAATTAATTTATTTTTATTGGAAACGCAGATCAGATTTATGAAGAGAAGGAAAGACAAAAGATTTTCCATCTACTAGTTCATTCCTCAAGTGGCAACAATGGCTGGAGCCAGGAGCTTCTCCCGGGTCTCCCATGTGGGTGCAGGGTCCCAGTGCTTTGGGCCAACTTTACTGTTTTCCCAGTCCACAAGCAGGGAGCTGGATGGGAAGTGAAACAGCTGGGACATGAGCCAGTTCTCCTGTGAGATCCTAGTGCTTGTAAGATGAGAATTTAGCCATTGAGCTATTGCACTTGGCTCTACAATAGGAACTTACGATGTGTGAGCATGATGGTTCAATTTGCTAATCCTCTACCTGTAAGTGCCGGCATCCTATATGGGTGCCAGTTTGTGTCCTGGCTGCTCTATTTCTAGTCCAGCTCCCTACTTCTGGCCTAGGAAACCTGCCCTGGATGGCCCAAAGAGACCTTGTACTCACATGGGAGGCCCTGAGGTAGAGGCTCCTGGCTTTGGATCAGCTCAACTCCGACCACTGCCACCATCTGGGGAATGAACCATTTGATAGAAGATCTTTCTCTCTCCTTCTGTCTGAAAATCTGCCTTTACAATAAAAATAAAATAAATTTTAAAAATTTCAAAGAAATGTGAATTGTTTATTTAAGGTTCTGAATAAGTTCTCTCAG